ACGGTGTAGAGGGAGCTTTACCCTGTATCTAACTCCCTGTCCCTGGGAGTGTTTGATGGGGGGGCGAATGGTGTAGAGGGAGCCTTATCCTATCTCTCTCTCTCTCTCTCTCTCCCCCTCGGACGGGGTGTAGTGTTGGTGAGCGAGGGTCTGTCAGAGGGCCCTGACCCTGGGGTCGATATTGTCCTCGAGTGTTGGTACGTTGAGGAGGGATTGGCCGGGCTGCAAGGGTTGGGCGGAGGGTTTTCGCGGGAGGAGGCCCTCCTCATCCTCCACAAGGTCCCCGTCCCTCAGGAGGAGGATACCTTGGCCTGGACAGAGTACAGCGTTCGTGAGGCAGATCGAAATCGCCTCGTCTTCGAGGCCACTGGTGAGTGGGTGAGGGACGGAGGGAGGGAGGGAGCAAGGGGCAGAGGGAGGGAGTGAGTGAGGGAGGGAGTGAAGCAGTGAGTGTGGGAATGAATGAGGGAGGGAGTGAGTGAGTCTGGGAGTGAGTGTGAGAGTGACTGTGGGAATTAATGAGTGTGAGGGAGGGATGGAGGGACTGTGGGAGTGAGGGAGAGAGTGAGTGTGGGAAGGAATGAGTGAGGGAGGGAGTTGAGGGAGTGTGTGAATGAGTGAGTGAGTGAGGGAATGAATGAGTGAGTGAGGGAGGGAGTGTGGGAATGAGTGAGGGAGTGTGGGAATGAGTGAGGGAGGGAGTGAGTGTGGGAATGAATGAGTGTGAGTGAGGGAGTGTGGGAATGAGTGAGGGAGTGTGGGAATGAGTGAGGGAGTGTGTGAGTGAGGGAGGGAGTGTGGGAATGAGTGAGTGAGGGAGTGTGGGAATGAGTGAGGGAGGGAGTGAGGGAGTGTGGGAATAAGGGATGGAATGAGTGTATGAGTGCGTGAGGGTGAGAGTGAGTGAGGGAGGGAATACTGAGTGGGAGGGAGTGCGGGCGTGAAGGAGTGTGAGCGAGGGAGTGGGTGAGGGAGTGAATGAGTGGAGGCGGTGAGTCAGTGAGTGTGAGAGCCAGGGAGGGAGGGTATGAGTGAGGGAGCATGTGAAGGAGTGAGTGAGCGAGGGAG